TTTAATTAATAAATACTAATCTTATAAAAATAAATTACATTTATTGATTAAAGTTATCCCATCATATCTTTATTAGATAAATAAGAGTATCCTTTATACTTTATAAACCAATAAAAGTTTCATCAATTTTTATGAAAAGAAAAATATAACGCCTTTACTAAAGTTGTCTTCTATTATATTATTGTAATATATAATTATTAAAATCTTCCCAATTCAATAATTCCTAGTGATTTTTGTAAGTCTTCCTTTTTTTTTTTTTCTTTCTTTGTCTTGCCTAAAATTACTTTACTTTGTTTTGTTTTTGCTTCTTTATTTAGTTATTGATTTACTAGAGAAATGTTAAACCTTTACAATATGTTTGGGTTGATGCTGCTTTTGTATTATTGACTTCCATAAGGCATTGAGGTTCAGTTTGCTTAACCCCCTATATCTTTTATGTTTATATAAATGAATTTTCATGTTCAATTTTAAAAAGATGAGAAATGCTGTTAACTCGAAAGACGATGCGATTTTGGTCCTGTCTACATGTTTAATTTTGGTCCTAATAGTGATTGTAGCAAACTTTAAAAAAAAAAAAAAAAAAGCTTAACAAAATTAAAGCTACTAAATAGTTTTTTTTTTAACATGGTTAATTATTTAGTAATTTAAAATTTTAAACTTTCACTTTAATTTTAAGTTAAAATTTTCAAATTAATAAATATTTACTCAGTCCAGTATTTATTGATAAAAGTTATAAAAAATAATTTAAAATAAATTTTTTATATTTTTAATATAATTTTATATATTATTTAAATAATTGATATTTTTTTCATTTAAGACCCATAATTATGTGTTCTAACAATAAAAAAAAAGTTCAATTATGTGTGCAATCAAAAATAATTTTTTTAATAGAAACAATTTAAAAATAAAAATGAAAAATTATAGTATAATAGCATTTTAATTATTATTAAAATATTAAATATATGTACGAAATGACTGATGACTACTGGTGCAGTTTTTTTTTCTTGAACAGCTAACAACTTTGGGGGATTGAGAAGGAAGATTTTTCAAGATATTGTTGAAATTTGAAATTGATCAACTAACCTAAGCACATTAAGATTTAAGGATAAATTATTTGGATCCAAAAACCCGTTTCAAACTACTAGTGCAGTTTTATTACATCCTCTTTTCTTTTTTTATCAAAGGTTAAAGTTACTTTGTTTTGATTTATCTTTTCCATTTTGATGATTTACTACAAAATAAATATTAAACCTTCAAAACCTCTTTTGGTGCTTGGTACTCGTCTTACCTACCAATGCGTCAATTTCTATCCTTTTTTTTTTTCAATACCTAATGTGGTTAGGCATTATTTGGGAGCGTGTACTATACTACATTGTGACCATAATTGTAGTTTTTTTTTTTTTAATCTTAAAAACTATAAAATATCGATTAAAATTAATAAAAATAGAGAAAAATATTTATCAATTGAACCTCTAAAAAATTAAGAGAGAAGGTGTCTTAAAACTAGGTCATTTTATTAAATTTCATTAAAAAACACTAAAATAACATTTTTTATATATTAAAAAATTAATTGTTTGACAATATAGAAGTTTAAAACTTTAATCTTAACTTAAATTAAAGTTTTTAAAGTATTTTAATAAAAAATTAATATACACAAATAAATTTAGTAAATAAGTAAATATTTAGCTTGAAAAATATTAATACATAATTCAAGAGTTTAAATTTAATCTAAAGATTTATTTGAAATAAAAGAAAATAAACTTATGAAATGCTTTTTCTTTTTCTTTTGTGATTATAATTAAAAAAATCCTATAAAACATATATTTTTTAAAATAATATATAAAAGTAGTTTTAAAATCCCTAACTAGTACTAAAATTTTCAGACCTAAACTTTCCTAGTCCTCATCTCAATCATTCTTCTCTTCATAATAGATGATCAAATTTCATTGCTAATTAAAATTTTCTGTATTAAGCCTCTTTTTATCTTTCTCTAATTTTGTATTATATATTTTTAATTTTTTCAAGTGATTAAATAATTTTAATTTTTTATGACAAAAAAGAAATTCTAATTTCTCATTTTTTAAAGTTATGCATCAGATGTAATTTGTAAGTTGGCTATCATCATGCTTACATTATAAATGAAATAATTTAATTTTATAATCTCATCTTTTATGTTAATAAACAATTTTATTTCATTATTATTAAATTATAATATAAAATTTTATAACAATTTT